TTTAAGCAATTTACAAAGTACTACTTCCTTGTAATAGTAGTTGTAATTTTCTTGAGTTCCTCCCTTCCTTTCAACAGGATGTTACTTGTATCTGCTTAAGGAAGAACATTATATCTCTTCAATTTGCCTGCCATTCCCTTTATTCTCCATTACTAATTCCTCAGACTCACTTTTTGTAGGACCAACAATTACATTTTTAACTTTTTTTAAATATCTGAAGAAACTCTTTCTGTTTTTATATTATTGGCTAACTTTTGCGTCTAATTTTTCCCTTATTAATCTTTTAGTAATTTTTTGCTGTTTTATATATTTTGTCACTCTTCTGACCTGCCACCTATCTTTGCACGATTATATATCTTTTCTTTTAGTTTGACACTATCTTTAATTTTTTTTAGTTAACCACAGGTGGCATGACTGTCCCTTAGATTTTTCTTTCTTGTTTGGATGAGTAGTTCAAATATCATAATATTCAAGAATATGGGACAAGTGCAGGAAATTAGGATTAGTGCACTTTTGGTGGTAGTTTGATGGGTAGGCGATGGCCTGGTGGTATTATCTCTGGACTGTTAATCCAGAAACCCAGATAATGTTCTGGGGACCCGGGTTTGAATCCCGCAATGGTAGATGGTAGAATTTGAATCCAATAAATATCTGGAATTAACAATCTAATGATGACCATGAATCCATTGTCAATTGTCGGAAAAACCCATCTTGATCACTAATGTCCTTTCAGGAAGGAAACTGCCATCCTTACCTGGTCTGGTCTACATGTGACACCAGACCCACAGCAATGTGGTTGACTCTGAACTGCCCTCTGGGCAATTAGGGATGGGCAATAAATGCTGCTTGATCAGTGATGTCCTCATCCCATGAATGAATAAAGAAAAAAAAAGTTATGTTGGTGCAGACTTGATGGGCCGAAGGACCTTTTCTGCACTGTATGAATCTATGAATCTATAGAAGGCATACTTAGTAAGCTTGCAGATGACACCAAAATTGGTGGTATGGTGGACAGTGAAGAAGGTTATCTAAGATTACAAAGAAACCTTGAACACTTGGGTCAATGGGCTGAAGAGTGGCAGATGCAGTATAATTTGGAGAAATGCAAGGTATTGCATTTTGGTAAAACAAACAATGGCAGGACTTTTACCATTAAAATTAGGGGCTAGGGTAAGTGCTGGAGAACAGAGATCCCTAGGAGTTCAGGTACCTAATTCTTAGCAGTTTACATCAGATATAGATAGGGTGGCTAAGACGGTGTTAAGCATGCTTGCCTTCATCGCTTAGACCGTTGAGTATAGGAGTTGAGATAATATTTTGAGATTGTTCAAGATACTGGTGAGGCCTCTTCTGTGTCCAATTCTGGTTGCCCTGTTATAGGCAGGATATTATAAAGCTGGAGAGGGTTTAGAAGAGATATACTAAGATGTTGCTGAAAATGGAGGGTTTGAGTTATAAGGAGAGCCTGGATATGCTAGGACTTTTTTCACAGGAGCATTGGAGGTTGAGGGCTGACCTTATAGAGGTTTATAAAGTCATGAGGGGCATAGATCAGGTGAATGACAGGTGTCTTTTCCCTAGGGTGGGAGATTTCAAGACCAAGGGCATTTTTTAAAGTGGGAGGAGAAAGATTTTAAAAAGACATGAGGGGCAATTATTTTACAGGGAATGGTTTGTGTGTGAAATGAACTTCCAGAGGAAAGGTTGGATGTGGGTACAGTTACAATGTATAAAAGGCATTTAGGTAAGTTCATGAATAAGAAACGTTTGGAGGGATATGGGCCAAGTGCAAGCAGGTGAGATTAGTTTGTTTGGGGTATGGTCAGCATGAACTGCTTAGACCAAAGGGTCTGTTTCCGTGCTATATGACTCAATGACTATTTGGTGAAATGCATCTATTCTGTGCTTCCTGGAATATCCCCTTATATGTTTGCCAATACCTATCCCTTAACCTAAATTGCCAGTTCACTTTGCGTAGTTATGCTTTCATGCCTACATAGCTGCCCTTGCTTAAATTCAAAATAGCAGTCTTAGATGCATACTTCTTTTGTTTGAACTGTGGGGTGCTTTCACTATGACATCAGTAATTAATCCTATCTCATTGGTCAAAACCAGTCCTAATATAGGTTGCTCTCTGATTAAGGATTTACAGCACTAACCAATCTCTAAGCAGCCTTTCTCTTCTTTTACCACATAACTTACTATTTAAATGCCTAAAAACAATTAATTGATTTATGTCATGTCAGTTAACTCTTTGTCGCTGCTACAGACTCGTGGAGTCATACAGTGTAGAAAAGGCGCTTTGGCCCATCGAGTCTGCATTGACAATAACTACAACTAAATGTGCGTTAACCCCAATTTCCTGCACTTGACGTATATCCTTGAAAGTTATGATATTTCAAGTGCTCATCCAAATATTTTTTAAAGGTTGTAAGATTTCTGGCCTCCACTAACTTGCTAGGCAGTACATTCCAGATTCCCACCACCCTCTGAATGAAAAAGGTTTTTTCTCAAATCCTCTCCGAATCTACTGCCCCTTACCCAAAAACTATACCCCCTCATGACTGACCCCTCAACAAGGGGACCAGCTGCTCCCTACTCACCCTATCCATACCCCTCAAATCTTATACACCTCAATCATGTACCCTCTCAGTTTTCCATGCTCTAAAGAAACCAATACAAGCATATATAGTCTCTCCTGATAGCACAATAGCTTCATCCCAGACAACATCCTGGTGAACATCCTCTGTATTCTTGCGCTATCACATCCTTCACATAGTGAAGTGACCAGAACTGCATACAGTACTCCAGCTGTGACCTAATAAATGCTCTGTACAACACCAATATTACCTCCTTGCTCTTATACTCTAAGCCATGATACCTAAATGATATAGATGAAAATGTGTTAAGTAAGTTTGTAGATGACACTGAAATCCAGAGTACCAGCTTCTGTACCTGAGAGCACTTCGAGCACATATTGTTGCAAAGTTGGGTAGAGTACTTGTGGATTGGGAGGCAGAAAGTTGGAATTTGGTGTTTGGAAAATGCTGGGCGGCGGGAAGCATAGCGTGGTTCCTTTAAAAGATAATATGCTTTTTCTGTGATTAGAGATTTAAATGGATGTCTGTGAGCAGCAGCTTGAAAGTTTGCAAGTACACAGAGAGCACCCGAATTGAAACATATGTATCAAAAGGCCATACAGTTAGCAGGCCAAGCAGCAGTTTTACTAAGACAACAAGCTTTTGAATTTAGCCAATCAATTTGAACCAGGCACTTAGATACTAAAACTCAATTAAATTTGGACAAAGCCAAATGCCATTCACCAGAGTTAGCAGCCCTCAGCTCTAAGGAGAGAATCGTTGGCTCTCACAGCCTCCTCTATGTGTTAGACAAAGCATCATCTAAATAACAAAGATACCCATCGTACAACTCGTTAATATTCCTGACAAAAGAATCGACGGAGGAGGCACAGAACATTCTGGAAGACTCGTAACCTTGGTGTAACTTCAATAGACTAAATTCTTTTTTATATAAATGGGACTTGTATTTATTGAAAAAGCATACCATTAGAATTTTGTTTTATTTGGGAATAGTTAGTAGTTAGATGGGATTTATTTAGTTTGTTAGTAGTTTAGTTAATTTTACACTCTTAGAGTTAGATAAATAAATGGTTACTTGTTGATTTTAAAGTTAGTGTCAGGGATTTATTTTATTTAACCACTAGAAGTGTTGAAAGGCAGGTAACACCACTTTTCACACTTCTTTTTTCAGATTAAAGGGCGAGGTCTCTTTAGTTTTAGCTCTCTGACAGGGTTCAACATCCCTTTATAACAATATAGTCATCTGAGACACTGACAGTATCCAAGACTCCCAACATATGACAAGCTACACATTCTGCACTACTGTCCTATCCTGACATGTCTTAAATTTGCTTAAATCTGGATACGGATAATAAATAACTTTTCCCAATAAATAATACCTTTTCTTTTAGCTTCAACTTTTTAAACGCAGTCCCTAATGTTAATTACTCACCAACCAATTTTTTCTACTTTCCTGAGATAGGACTCTTTGATTTTCTCTTTAAACTCATTGCGCTGTTTGAAAAGCTGTTCTTCACATCTCCGGAGCTGACTGCTTCCTGAAGGTGACTGTCAGGCCTCATTCCCATGCTCTCCTTTACCCTTTCCTGATGCTGAGTATTCCTCGCAGGTCCAGAGCTGACTGCTTCCCGAAGGTGAGAAGTTAGTTGTTACTTTTTTCACCTTGAACTTTGTGATAGTCAGCCTGATCCTTATTTGCATTATGAACCCAGCATCTGTCATATGCGGCCTAAATTAGTTTCATTTTATTCTCTCCTTCATGATCCAGGAACCTCTGGCTTTATTTGATCTTTCTGCCATTTGTGAATGTATCTTGACTGTGCCTGAACAATCTCCTCTGTAAAAGGTACTGAATTGTTTAATTATTATTTTGCTCGTCAATCTTAGATTCAAACCTGATCTCATCTCAGTGAAATTGGCCTTCTCCCATTTAATTATTTCATTCTGGATTGTCCTTCATCTTTTTCTAACGTTATCTATGCGGACATCTCCCAAGGCTCATCAGTGGGCCTTGACAGTCAAACAGTCTCTTAACTGTGCTGATTTAAATTCTCAGATTAACATCTCCTTGACTAAAGTACCAGATGGTTAACAAAAAAATCACAGTCCTGCAAGAAATGATTTCTTTTGAGGGTGGCCTTGGTAGAAGTGAGAAGAAGAGGAAGGAAAAAGAGATGTTCTTTTCAGTACAATACTCAAACACTATGTTGCCTTTTGTAACATACTGTTACAAAGAGTCAACTAGTCCTCAGTGATAAGATAACAAATAAGCAACACAAAGGATGCACTGTAAGACATTTGCAGAGCTAGCGCAACCTTATACCAGGGTCATAAGTACTAAATATGATGGCTGAGTATACTTCAGTCTCACTGAGTCATCCAACTATTTATAACACTTACCAATATACTTGAAGGGTTTTCCCAACTTAGTGAGCTGGCTCAGACACAGTTCCACCACACTTGTTGTCCACTGACTAACTCTGCTAGGCTGATATGCATTTCCACCAATTGCAGCCTCTATTGACTGCAAGTAATAGAAAACTGGTAAGTTTTCACAGCTAAGTGTTGAAAAGTTAGTTAGAACTGAATTATTTTCAATAACAACTTACCTCTTTAATAATGCCACTAATTTCGTCAACAATAAAGGCAGTCTCAAGAGGGAAAAAAAAGTTTAATTTTAGACTTAATATCTTTCTAAAATGCTCTTACATAAGAAATCTATTCATTGTACAGTCACCTGAAAATCATTCATGATGCAAGAAAATATTATAGATAGACTATGGCATAGCTGATGAGCACCTTGCATTTTCTGGTTTCAGAGCACATTGTTCAAACCCTGATTAATAACCATAGCCAGCGAATGGGTAACCTCATTACTAGACTTGAGAGTTCAAAATCCCACAACCGCTGGGGAATTTAAACACAGTTAATAAATAAACTTGGAATTAAAGCTGGTTGCAGGATAATGACCAGACTGTAGTAAGAATCCAAGTACACAAACGCCCTTAAGAAAGGAAAGGAAATGTGCCATGTTTAACCACTCTGGCCTATGTCTGATTCCAGATTATTCAAAGTCACTGATTCCTAACTGGCCTAGCTAATACTAGGCCTGGAACCAGCTGAATGGCTCCTACAGAATTTGACACTGACTTGATGTCCTGATAGATTTGTTACATCATAGTGATGGTAATTCTGTATTTTCAGACAACATAATAAAATCTGAAAATACATGTTAAGGCACAGTCCTGCTTCATTATCAATTTGAAGAATCTTGCATAACATTTCCAAACCTTCTCTATCCAGCAGAAATAATCACAATGCTTAGAACATTGAACAGTACAGAACAAGAATGGGCCCTTTGGCCCCAAGATGTTGTGCTGAACATGATGCCAAATTAAACTAATCCCTTCTGCCTGCCCTTGGTCCATATCCCTCCATTCCTTGTATATTCAATTTCTTATCTAAAAGTCCCTTAAACGCTCCTATCGAATCTGCCTCCACCACCTCTGGCAGTGCATTCCAGACTCCTACCACTCTCTCTAAAAAAAACTTGTCCCTCACATCTCCTTTGAAATTTCCCCCTCTCACCTTAATTGCACACCCCTCAGTACCAGACATTTCAACTCTGGGAAAAAGATTCTGACCATCAATCTCAACTATGCATCTCATACTTTTATAGACTTCTATCAAGTCTCCCCTCAGCCCCCACCACTCCAGAGAAAACAACTTGAGTCTTTCTAGCTTCTCATAGCTCAAACCCTCTAATCCAGGCAGCATCCTGGTGCTCTTCTGCACCCTCTCCACAGCCTCCACATCCTTCCTGTAATGCGGCGACTAGAATTGAATGCAATACTCTAACTGTAGCCTAACCAAAGTCCTATAAAGCTGCAACATAACACCCTGGCTCTTGTACTCAACTCCCTGACCAATTAAGGCAAGCATACCATATACCTTCTTTACCATCCAATCTACCACAAGATCCTCTGTACATCAGTGTTTGGTTTTGGTTATTCATATCACAGAATTATTAAGAGAACTGGAAGCAATTCGACCCATCATGCTTGCATAAATAAAGAAGTCACCCAGTGCCATTCCTCTGCCTATTCCCTGTAACCCTGCACGTACTTCCATTTCAGATGATAATCCAATTCTTTCTTGAATGCTGCAATTGAGTATGCTCTCATCACACTCTCAAGCAATGCATCTTAACTACCATGTGAAGACGTTTCCCCTCAGGTATCTTTTCTTTGTCAGCTTCCTTAAATCTATGCTGTCTTGTTCTTGATCCCCATGACTGGGCAAACTGTGTTTTTTCTCCTGTCTACTTTTAAAACCCTTCATGATTTTGAATATGTTTATCAAATCTCCTTTTAACCTTCTCTTCTCCAAGGAAAAGAGTCCCAACTTCACCAATCTGTTTACCAAAGTTCCTCATCCCAGAAAAAAATTCTTGTCACATGGGGTGGAAAGGTGGGATGCATGTGGGATTGCAATGGAGTTAATGGGATTGTGGGATTGTGGGATTGGAGGGGATGGAGTTGTTGTGGGATTGATGGGGAGGGTTTGTGGGATCAGTGAGGAGAAATGGGTTGAAGGATTGAGGAGGACATGGAGATTGTGGGATTTGGAAATGGAGGGGAGTTGCAGAATTGGTGTGGAAATCAGGTTTCAGGTTTGAGGGGTAGAGACGGGGTGGTTGCAGGATTGAGGGTGAAAGATGGGGCAAGTTGTAGGATTGGGGAAGGGAGAGTCAAAGGGGTCAAAGAGATTTGCAGCACAGAGAAAAAGACCTTTGCCCCATTGCATCCACACCGGTCAAAAACAACTTTCTAACTATTATGATCCCATTTTTCAGCACTTTGATACATATCCTTGTATATCGTGGCATTGCAACTGCACTTGCAATTACATCCTCAAATGTTATAAGGGTTCCTGCCTTCTACCATCCTGACAGATAGTGAATTCCAGGTTCTCTCCACAATCTGGGGAAAAATGCTTTTCCTCACATCTGCCCTAAACCTTCTGCTCCTTACCTTAAATCTATGCCCTAGTTATATCCCACTCTGTCAAGGGAACAGTTCCATTCTAGCTACCCTACTTATGCCCTTTATATCTTTACATGTGCTAATTGTGTCCCTTCTCAATCTCCTCTGCTCTAAGGAAAACAATCACAGTCTGACCTATCGATCTTTTTAACTGCAACTTTCCAGGCACGCAACGTCCTGGTAAATCTCCTCTGCACCCTCTGCTAGCTGTGATAGCATGTGCGCTATAACATCTCTCCTGTAATGTGGATTCCAGAACTGCACACAATAATCTAGCTGTGGCTGAACCAATGTTTTATACAGTTCCAGCAGAACGTCCTTGCTCTTCAACTCTATGCCTCGATTAATAAATGCCATATGCATTCTTAACCACTTTATCTATCTGTTCTGATACCTGAAGGGACAGGTGTACATACCTACCAAGATCCCTATGATCCTTGGTGCTTCCCAGGATTGTACTGTTCGACAAACATTCCCCTGCCTTGTTTGTCCTGCCCAAATACATCACCTCATATTTATCTGGACTGAGAGATGGTTGGGTTGTGGAACTGGGAGGGAGAGAGGGGTGTCTGCAGGATTGGAAGGAGAGGCAGTGGGGGAGTGGAGGAGGGGTTTGTTTTAAAGGATTCGGAGGGAGATGGGGGGTGGATTGGGTAGTAATGATAGATTGCGTAGACGAGGTGAGAAATGGTAAAATAGAGGGCAAGGTTGGGAGCAGAAAGATTGGGGAAATAGAGTTGTGGAAATGAGGAAGGAGATTGCGGGGGGGGTTGTGAAATTGGGTGGGTAGAAAAAGGATTGCAGGACTGTGAGAAGAAATTTGAGGTTTGCTGGATTGGGGAGATGGGATATTGCAGGGTGTGCAAGGAGAAGACAATGGGGTGTTGGGATTGTTGGGGATATTGTGAGAATGAGGGATTGTGGGGGCGCAATTGGGGCTGTGGGATTGGGGGGCAGAGATTGTGGGGGTTGCAGCATTGGAGTGTAGAGATAGGGGAAGGATTGTGGGATTGCAAGTAGGTGGCAATGGGTCTTGGACGGGTGATGTGGTTGCGGGGGAAAGGGAAATGTGGATTATGAGAGTGAGGTGGGGTCTGGGGAATGGAGTGGAGGATTGTTAAGGGAAGGTTATGATTTTGGGAGATTTAGAAGAGGGAGACTTGGGGAAGATTGGAGCAGGGCAGGAAGATGAAGAGTTGGGTGAGGGAAGAAGGGTTTGGAGGCGCAGGGTGAAGTATGGGAAAAGAATTGGAGGTATGTGTGGCAGGGAGGGGGGGGGAAGGAAAGTTGAGGGAGGGTAGGGGAGCAGAGAGGAGGGAGATTTGGGGGGAGTGTGCAGGGGGAAAGGAGATTTGGGCGAGTTTGGTTGGTGGGGGTGTTGAGGAAGGAGGAGGAGGGTGAGTTGGGTAGGGTTAGGGAGATTTTGTGTTGAGTGAGATATTAATAGGTTAACTGCGCAAAATCTTGGCAAATACAGTCTAATTTGGGAAAATGTGAAGTTGTTCATTTAGGAAATTACTATTATTTAAAGAGAAAAGTGGCAGAAAGATGCAACACAAAGTTGCTTAGGGGTACTTGTGCATGAAACACAGAATGTTATCACACAGATGAACCAGGTAATCAGGAAGCTAATGAAATGTTCACCCTTATTTCAAGCGAGTGAGAGTATAAGCTTCTTAAGAATCTTATATGTTTCAATGAGATCAACTCTCATTCTTCTAAACTCCATTGAGTAGAGTCCCAACCTGTTTAACTTTTGCTTATAAGACAATCCCTCCATACCAGGTAAAAACAGAAAGAACTGTGGACGTTGTAAATCAGGAACAAAAACAGAAGTTGCTGGAGAAGCTCAGCAAGTCTGGAAGCATGTGTGAAGAAAAAAAATCACAGTTGATGTTTCAGGTCCAGTGACCTCAGTTCTGAGGAACAGTGGTGGTGGTAGAGTGGCTCAGTGGCTAGCACTGCTGCTTCATGGTGCCTGGGACCCAGGTTCAATTCTACCCTCGGGTGACTGTCTGTGTGGAGTTTGCACATTCTCCTATGTCTGCGTGGGTTTCCTCCCACAGTCCGAAGATGTGCAGGCTAGGTGGATTGACCATGCTGAATTGCCCATAGTGTTCAGGGATGTGTAGATTAGGAGGATGGGTCTGGGTGGGATGCTCTGAGGGTCAGTGTGGACTTGTTGGGCCGAAGGGCCTGTTTCCACCCTGGAGGGATTCTATGATCTATGCTGCCAGACCTGCTGAGCTTTTCCAGCAACTTCTGTTTTTGTTTCCTCCATTCCAGGGATTATTCTAGTGGGCCTTCTCTGAATTGCCTCCAATGAAATCATATTTTTCCTTCAATAAGGGGACCAAAACTGCTCACGGTATTCCAGACGTGGTCCCACCTTATACAGTTACAGTAAGACTTTCCTACTGTTCCTGGGCAGAACGGTGGCCAATGTTCAGCACAGCTGACTCACAACATCAGGGATCCAGGTTCGATTCTACCTTGAGCGACATTCTCCCTGTGTCTGCGTGGGTTTCCTCCAGGTGCTCCGGTTTTCCTCCCACAGTCCAAAGATGTGCAGGTTAGGTGGATATCTATGTTAAATTATCCATAGTGTCTGGGGATGTGTAGGCTAGGTGGATGCGCCTAGAGAAATTTCAGGTTGCAGGGATAGGGTAGGAGGGTGGGTCAAGGTGGGATGCTCTTTGGAGACTTGGTGTGACTCGATGGGCTGAATGGTCTGTTTCCACACTGTAGGGATTCTATGATACTCTAACTCTCTTGAATTAAGGGCCAACATTCCTGATTACCTGCTTCACCTGTGTGCTAGCTTTCAGCGTTTCATGCACAAGTACCCCCAAGTAACTTTGTGTTACTCTGTTCCTCAGTTTCCTTTTCCTAAATGAACAACTTTGCATTTTCCCCAATTTGACACTATTTGCCAACTTTTTGCGCAGTTAACCTATTAGTATATTACCCAACACAAATCTCCCTCTCCCACCCTACACAACACCCCCACCAACCAAAATTCCTCAAATATCCTTTCCTCCTGTACACTCTCCCAAATCTCCCTCCACACTGCCTTCCCACAAATCTCCCTCCCACTCCTGACTCAAATCCACCCCCAAACTCCGTCCCCTCTGCTCCCATACCCTACCTCAACTCTCCTTCCCTATCTTCCCCTTACACATCTCCCCAATTCTCCTGTGATACCTCTCCCTTGTCCCTCCACTCCCCTTCTTCCCTCACCCAACTCTTTATCCCACTGCCCATTCCAATCTTCCCCAGTCTCTCTCCCATAAATCTCCTAATATCTTCCCCAACAATCCTCTACCCCACTCTTCAGAACCCCCTCAACCTCATAATTCACCTCCACCTCGATTATCCCCTCCCCACCCATTGATTCTTTCCTTCCTCTAAGAGCCCTTTTACCTTTAGAAACCCCTTCCGCCATCCTATACCTTCACACCTAATCCCACAAGTCCCCCATCTCCTGCTTCCATTACTGCAACCCTCTAAACCCCCACCCACTGCATCTCCCTCCCAAACCCCCCACCCATTTGCATCCAATCCTAACTCTTTCCACTGTCCTGTTAAACTACAACTGCACCCATCCCTGCCAGCCCCTTGTCTCCCCACATCTCCCGTTCCCAAAGCTGCAATACCACTCATCTTCCCAACCAATCCTGCAACCTTCATCACCTTACCAATATCCCTTGCCACCTGTTTCCAATCCCACAACCCTGCCCCATCCCTACACCCCAATGCGGCAACCCACACAATCTCTGTTTCCCCAATCCCGCAACCCCAATTGTGCCCCCATATTTTCACAACACCCTCATCTCCCCAACAATCCCAAAACCCTATCGTCTCTCTCCCACACGCCCTGCAACATTCCCATCTCCATAAATCCAGCAACCCGCAAATTTCCTCCCACAATTCTGCAACCCCCATTTCTACCCACCAAATTTCACCACCCCACGTCTACCTCCTCATTTCCACAACTCCACTTCCCCAATCTTTCCCCTCCCAACCCCATCCTACATTTTACTGCCTCCCAACTCTCCTATACAATCCACCATCACTCCCCAACCTCCCTCCCTCCCAATCCTTCAACATCACCCCATCCTCCACTACCCCGCCAACATCTCTCCTTTCAATCCTACAATCACCCCCCTCTCCCTCCCAATCCCACAACCCATCCATCTCGTGGTCTGAATACATGTGAGGTGATGTACTTGGAGAGAACAAGGCAGGGGAACATATGAAGAACAGTATGACCCTGAGAAGCATCAAGGATCATAAGGACCTTGGTGTGCATGTACACTTGTCCCTTCAGATATCAGAACAGATAGATAAAGTGATTAAGAATGCATAAGGCCTTTATTCGTGATGGCATAGGGTTGAACAGCAAGGAGATTTATGCTGGAACTGTATAAAATGTTGGTTTGACCACAGCTAGATTGCTGTATGCAGTTAGCATCTGAATCATTGAATCCCCACAGTGAGGATACAGGCCATTCAGCCCAACAAGTCCACACTGCCCCTCCAAACAGCATCCCACCCAGACCCATCTCCCTACCCCATCCCTGTAACCCAACATTCTCCATGGCTTAATGCACCTAACCTACACATCCCTGTACACTACGGGCAATTTAGCATGGCCAATCCACCTAACTTGCACATCTTTAGACTGTGGGAGGAAACCAGAGCACCCAGCAGAAACCCATGCAGGGAATATGCAAACTCCACACAGTCAATCATCTGAGGTTAGAATTGAACCCAGGTCTCTGGCACTGTGAGGCAGCAGTGCTTAACCACTGAACCACTGTGCCACCCCCAACTACAGATCTGGAATCTACATTATAGGAGGAATGTGATAGCACTGCAGAGGGTGCAGAGATTCACCAGGATGTTGCCTGCCTGGAAGGTTGCAGTTAGGAAGAGAGATAGGACAGAATGAGATTAGTTTCCATTGAGCAGAGGAGATTAAGAGAGGCCATGGTTGAAATATATAAAGTTATAAAGGTCATAGATAGGGTAGACAGGAAGGAACCTTGACAGACCGACATGTGACTAGGGCATAGATAAGGGACAGAAGGTTTAGGGGAGATATGAAGAAAAGCTCTTTCACCCACATTGTGGAGGGAACCTGGAATTCACTACCCGTACTATAGTAGAAACAGAAACTGTCATAACATTTAAGAAGTATTTAAATGTGCAACTGTGATACCAAGGCATATAAGGATTTGGACCAAGTGCTGAAAAATGGGATCATTAATAGTCAGATGGTTATTTTTGACTGGCATGGATGCAATGGGGCAAAGGGCGTTTTTTCCCCACTGCAGATCTCTATGGCCCCATGACTCTCCCTTCTCCAATCCTACAACATGCCCATCTCTCACCCTGAATCCTGCAACCTCTCATCTCTACCCCTCAATCCTGCAACCTGATCTCCACACCTATTCTGCAACTCTCCCTCCATTTCCCAATCCCACAAACCCTCACTCATGTGCTCCTGAATCCTGCAACTCATCTCCCCCCACTGATCGCACACTCACCCATAAATCCCACAACCCCACTAATTCCATTGCAACCCACAACCACACGCCCCCGTCTTACTACTTCCCAATCCCGCAAATCCCCAACAATTCCCCTACAATCCTGCAACCCTCATCTCTACCCTGCCAATCTCGCTACAGCTCCATCTTTCCGCAATCTCTCACCCTAATCCTGCAACGGTTCATATCCCTCCCAATCCACCATCACCGATCTTCCGCCAATCTCTTCCCCAACGATCCCGCGATGCCTGCAAACCTTCACCTCCATAGCTTCCTTCCCCACATCGCCATCCCAAGAACTCCATCACTACCTTTTCTCTAGCTCCTCCTCTCCCTCTTCTCCCGTTGGTCCTATTTCCGTGCCTGACGTTGTCACTTTTTATGATTCTCAGAGACGATCAGACAACCAGTCCAACTCGTCCCTGCCTCCCTAACCTGTTCTTCCTCCCACCTATCCCCTCCTCCCACCCCAAGCCGCACCTCCATCTCCTACCGACCAACCTCATCCCGCCCCCTTGACCTGTCCGTCCTCCCTGGACTGACCTATCCCCTTCCTAACTCCCTACCTACACTCACCTTTCCTGGCCCCATCCCCGCCTCTACGACCTGTTTGTTTCCTCTCCTCTATCCCTCTTCTATCCGCCTCCCACTCTCTCCCTATTTATTTCAAAACCCCCTTCCCCTCCCCCTTTTCTGATGAAGGGTCTAGGCCCGAAACGTCAGCCTCTCTGCTCCTATGATGCTGCTTGGCCTGCTGTGTTCATCCAGCCCTGCACCTTGTTGTCTCAGATATCGAACTGCCTTCATTTCCCTCATACAGGAAACAACCTGTGACTCTCAGGTGCAAGACTAGTCATCTACCAGTTTCTGAATACTCTAGCAAGACGACTCACTTTACTATTAATCCCCATCCCTTACCCACCTCCTCTCCGCTCTGATATTCGTCCATTTTTCTAACGGTTTTATTTACGCACGCGTGATTTCCCGACAAAGATCATGCAATGGTCATTGGAAAGTCTCGCGGCAGGTAGATGACAGCGTGGTTTGTTAGTGGTAATCGAACGATTGAATTATGTCACACGTGTTTAGCTAAGCAAAGCAAATTTCTGTTCGCAGCTGGTGTAGGGAAAAAAGACAAATGGCTGGAAATACTTAGCATTTTGAAACAGGGAAATAAGCTGCAGTTATTAACTTAAAGTATTAAATTAAGTACGATTTCAAAAGGGATGTAGGAGTAGCGGGATCTGGATGGTGGTTGAGGATATGTCATTGAAGGTGACCAGATTGCATGTGTCTTTGATGTTTTATTTCATGCCCCGCCTAATCTCCGTTTAATCTATTGGAGACCTATAGACAACCCCCATCAACATTTACTGTCCTTTGGTATTGTCTCCACCAATACAGATTCCACATCATGACTTTCTGAGCCAGTATCGTTCCTCACAATTACATTGGTTTCATTCTTTACTAACGATGCTATCCCATCTTCTTAATTTGTTAATTCTAACTGTTGAATATCCCTGGGTGTTCAGCCCCCATCCCTGGTCGTCCTCAGCCATGTCTCTGTATTTGCAATGATATAAAAACACATGTATATCTGTTTGTACGTTTAATTTATCAACTTTATTGGGAATGCTCCATTCCGTAAGACACAATGCCTTTAAACCTGACCTGATCACCTTGTTATCACCTTCTTAGTTTTATTTTGCACTAAGGCCCCGCTTGTTTCTCACCCTTTTTTCTGCCTTCTACTTTTCCTTCTTAATTTTCTACCTTTCATCTCTGTCTTTGATCACCCTTTCTCTGTCTCAGTCTTCAGATTCCCATCCTCCTGCCATTCTAGCATGAACAAACAGTCTCCTGACGGCATTGGCCCCAGTTCTTCCCAGATGTAACCCAGAAATGATGCCAGGAATCTGCATCCCTCCCTGTACACTTCTTTCATTTTAATCTGATAAATCCTGTTATTTCTACATTTGTTAGCTCGTGACACTGGTAGTATCCATGAAATTACTGCCTTTGAGGTCCAACCATTTCAATTTACATGCTAACTCCCTAGACTCAGCTCGTAGGACCTCATTCCTTTTATGTCGTTCGTACCAATATGTACCGTGGCCAATGGCTGAATCAAGGGATATACAGCATTGGATTAGAAGATACAGGGAGGCTTATGACAGATACTGAGGGCTCAAAATGGCAGAGCCCTAGAGGAGTAGTGAATGCACATAAGGGAATTTAAAAAGGAGATTAGGAAAGTTAAAAGGGGACATGGTACTGGTAGGTTAAATAAAGAACAATCCTAAGTTGTTTCACAAATGCATTAAAGGATAACAAGAGAAATAGTAGAGCTCATTAAGAGCACAGCAGTAATTTGTGCATGGAGCAGTGATGTTATGGGAAAGTTCTGACTGATCTGGCAGGCTTAAAAGTGAATACATTTCTCGGGCCAGATGAAATATATGCCAGGTTGTTGAGTGAGGTTAGGTAAGAATTAGCAGGGGTGCTTGCAAAAAATTTCAATTCCTCTCTGGCCTCTGGAGAGGCACTGGAATTCTGCCAATGTGTTACTCTTATTTAAGAAGGCAGCAGGGAATAAATCAGGAAACTCTGGGCAAGTCAGTGTAACCTCAGTGGTGGGGAAACTTGGAAGCAGTTCTGAGGGACAGAATGAATCTGTGTTTGGAGAGGCAGAGGTTAATCAAGAACAATCTATTGTAAGGGGAGGTCATGTCTGACCAACTTGATTGAATATTTTGAAGAGGTGACCAGTTGTGTAGAAGAGTACAATGCTTTTGATGTTGACTGCTTTGATTTCAGCAAGGCTTTTGATAAAGTCCTACATGGGAAATTGACAGTGAAGGTAAGAGCCCATGCCAGCCAAGAAAATTTGGCAAATTGGACCCACAATTGGCTGAGTGACAGGAAGCCGAGGGTTATGGTTGAGGGATGTTTTTCCAGCTGGAAGTCTATGTCCAGTGGGGTCCCATGGGGATCAGTGTTGAGGCCTTGCTGTTTCTGGTGTGTATAATTGAATGTAGGTGCGTTCAACAATAAGTTTGCAGATGGTACAAAAATTGGTGGGATGGTTAATATTGAAGCATCCAGGATGACAGTATGTTTGTGCAATATACACCTCTCAAATCTCAAATCTCAAATTCAATGCAGTTACTGTATTATCTTCACCCTTACTCCAGTCCTTCGTTTCTGCATATACTTCCATATATCCAAAAATTACCACCTGGCAAACCAGTTCAACCTGACAAGATGGACAAGATGAAGAGTTGATGTCTGAAGATGCATCATTATCCTCAACTGCTAGCTCAGACACTGGCACTGTGTTTAGTTTAGAGAGCGGATCAGCATACAGTGAGTTAGGGACTAGGTCAGCTCCTTGGAGCAAGATTATAGATGAGTTCTATTACAGGGAACTGGAATGAATCCTTAGATGGAGGAGTATGCAGAGAATAGCAGCGTGGATACACACAAATATGCTTAGTGCCTTTAGAACATGGAACAGTACAGCACAGGAACAGGCCCTTCAGTCCACCATGTCTGTTTCAACTGTGATGCCATCCTAAACTAATCTGATCTGCCTGCGCATGGCTCATATCCCTCTATTCTCTCCATTTGTCTGACTGTCTTTGCAAGCCAGGCAGAAGCCATCTAATGTCTGAGAGCTGAGGTAGAAGCTCAGAATGTAGAACTAAGCAAATAGAAGGGTTGGTTAGAAGGCAGAAGGGAAATTTGGAAGGATGTGGTCAAGTTTCTTGATAAATACTTTGCACTTTCTTCACAGAAGAAGGGAACCGTACAGACATTGTAGTTAAGGAGAGGGAATGTGGACTATTGGATCGTATAATGGGAAAAGAAATATTTAGATTAGCGTCTTTGGAAGTGCCAGGCTGCTGAAACATGGCAACAAATAATGGAGGCTCTGACCATCATTTTCTAATTGCTTTAGCTACAAGTGTGGTACTTGAGGAGTGCTAATATTGCACCATCGTTTTAAGAGTGAAAAAGGATAGTCAACCTAACATTGTGGGCAAATTATTGAAAAAAATCTGTAATATTGTATAGTATTTAGTAAAGCATTGAATATTCAACATAGATTTGTCACGAGGAGGTCATATTTGACTAACTAGATTAAATATTTTGAGTATCCATTGACAGCAGATTTGATGTTGTCTACATGAGTGTAGCAAGAATTCTGACAAAGTTGCATATGTTTGACTGGTCAGTATGGTAGGAGTCCTTAGGATTGATGGGCAAGTGGCTCTGTTGAAGAAAGCAAAGGATGCAGTCAACAGATATGAGTATGACCAGTAGGCAATCTCCAGTGGAGTTCTGTTGCGTTCATCCCACTGTCTCTTGTCGTGGTCTATGTCAAAATTTTAGACTTAAGTGTAGGAAACCCTAATTTAGGAAGTTTGTTAGTGATACAAAGGTTAGTTGCATTGCTGACAATGGGAAAGGGATCTGGAGACTGCAGGAAGATATGATTTGACCACGTTGATAGAAAAGTGGGAAAAAAAAGGTTCCTTCAGAGAAATAGGATTTTTGTATTTGAGGAGAACAGACAAATGCAAGGGAATACACAATAAAGGTAGAATATACTAGTCTGAAAATGTCTGATCTCATCTGAGCTCGGAAGCTAAGGGGACTTGAGCCTTGTTAGTGCTTGGATGGAGGACTCTCTGGGAATGCTTGGACCCCTCTTGTGGCACAGTAGTAGTGTCCCTACCCCTAGTCTGGGGGGCTGGGGTTCAAATCCCATCTGCTGAACAGGTTGATTAGGGGAAAAAAAAGGTAAATGGTAGGATATTGCAAAGGGTAAAAGAAAGGTGGAGCTTGGAGAACCTGTGCACAGATTCCCAAAAACAGCACAGATAGATAAGATAAGAAGGCATATGGAACATAGAACAGTACAGCACAGTACAGTCCCTTCGGCCCACGATGTTGTGCTGACCTATTATCGTACTCTAAGGAGGGTGGAGAGAAGTGGAGGAACAATATTAGAGGGTTTTTTCAGAGAAGCCACAGTCTAAGATGTTCAGAGACAGCTGGTATAGAGCAATGATGTATCAATGCATTGTCCATTTCTGTTATAGAGTCATAATATCTCAAATTAATCTAGTCCCATTTGCCAGCATTTGGCCAATATCTCTCTAAACCCTTCTCATTCATGTACTTTTAAATATTATAATTGTAGCCGCCTCCACCACTTCCTCTGGCAGCTCATTCCATACATGCACCACCCTCTGTCTGAAAAAGTTGTCTGTCAAGTCTCTTTTAAATTTTTACCTCTCACCTTAGACCTATGCCCTCTAGTTTTGGACTTCCCTACCCTGGGAAAAAGACCTTGGCTGTTCACCCCATCCTAACAGGAGGAGAGGAGGAATGGAGGTGAAATTCAGATCATACGCTGTGTGAGACACTTCAACAAATTTCTCTTCTTCTAGCAGCCTGTCAGAGTCAGGATACAGCCAATGGTAACAACTTGCACTGTGGCGTCTTTTAATGCGGGAGGTTACTACGTTGCAGCTGTCCCAGGGTTCTGACTGACCAAGCATGCCTCCAACAAGGTGTTTCATCTGGTGGGCGATACTTATGTTATGTCCCCTGATATACAAAACTGAGCATGGATATCAAGGTATTGAAGAGTTCCACAGATATTTATTAGAGCTAACTAATGTGTATGAACGTTACATTCCGCAGGCGCCACAGCATCTGGGCTATTATTAAGCTAGCAAGTTACCCGTGGAGAGTCATGCTTCAAGTGATCTGAGGTAAAATGGAGTATGAAATCTTTAAACGCTGAGGGTATGACACAGAGATTATATCTTGAGCATGACTCTTAAAGGTACACTTATTCTTCCTTTACTTCTACCTCCTGTGCTCTTCCTCCTACATCATGCAAGGTGGTCACTGAGGGCCTGGTGCAAAGGACTTTGCTGTCATGATGCTGCATTATGAAGGACAGAACAGATACCTATGAATCTGAAGTCTTTTACTCTGGTGAGTATTAGAGGTGTCTTCTGAGCAATCAT